TTCAACACATACAGGGCCAAACGTTAGCCTTATATTGCAACTATGCTGAGCGGACCTTAGTTACATTTTCTGGGAGAGAGCGCGTTATCTAATGTGATCAATAGTCTGAACAAGGCCAGACCATCGATCACAATAACTAGCACAGCCATCGTCTACTCAATGTCACTTACAAATTTATAGGAGGTATGGTTTTCAAGCACTTTGCAAAGGTTTCGCAGGCTGGGATCGAAGACGGAAAACATCAAGTAATAACATTCCTAACAAATCAACCACGGTGAGAATTGGACTTGGATCGCAAGACCAAGAAACACACATTTTTATCACTCGGCCACCTGGATATCTATAAGATAAACGAGAACCTTTTTCTTGCGTTTCCTTATCTTCGAGTTCTCCAAAAAGAATATTGTGTTGGTCTAGAAAGCCAAACCGTAAGTTTAAATATCTTCAGTGAGAAAATGTTTCAGATATTTCTGCAAGCAAGCGATCAATAGTTTTTTTATGATGCGACGAATTTTCTGTTCAACAGTCATTCCGTCATCAGCTGCATTTCCCCAATATACAATTTTGTTTATGACATATTTTTTCGTCTTTCAGTGGTTAATTCCCCACGTTTTCACATTGACGTTTGTCCATTTTAAGCACTTCTTGACAGCACCTTTTACATGATTCTATCAATTTCTCATTCAAAGAATCAAGATTTGCAGCTGCTTTTCAGAAATTCATTTTTGGAACTCCTCAACATGTTCCTTCGCTCGATTGATGGATGAGAAAACATTTCTATAAGAACGCAAAAATACAAGAAAATCAAAGAAGCGTTTATAGAAAACTACATTTTGTTTCTTCCATTCTCCCTTTCATACTTAATTGCTCAAACATTTCGGACCATTCATTCATATTCGCATATCTAACATTTACTGTGTTTAACACTCTACCATGTTTATGATTCAAGCTTGACAAAAGTCTGAAGCTTCTATTGCAGTACGATTTTGTAGGTCAAAAACAAATAAATGCACCCAATTTTACCAAAAAAGTTACTGTTCTTTCCTAAATTTCAGCACGAAAAATGAGCGATCGTTATACATAAAAAAAGAATAAAATAAAGTATTCTGCTTCATGAAGACGAAAATCACCATCCTGAAACGATTGACCTCCTGTTCATTCAGATGATGTCGTATAAAGACGATAATTCCATAGAGCAATATTCTTTAGACAGGTTGTCTTAAGCCAATGTTCTTTAGACAGGTTTCCCTTACACCAACATTCTTTAGACAGGTTTCTCTTAGACAAATGTTCTATGGACAGGCTTCCCTGAGACCAATATTTTTAGACTGGTTTCCCTATGACGAATATCTTTCAGACAGTTTTCCCTAAGACAAATATTCTTCAGAGAGGTTTTCCTTACACCAATATTCTTCAGACTTAGACCAATATTATTTAGACAGATTTCCTTTAGACCAATATTCTTTAGAGAGGTATCCCTTAGACCAATATTCATTACAGAGGTTTCCCTTACACCAATATTCCTCAGACAGGTTTACCTTGGAACATTATTCTTCAGATAAATTTCTCTTAGACCAGTATTCTTCAGAAAGATATTCTTTGAACAGGTTTTCCTTACACCAATATTGTTTCGATAGATTTCCCTTAGACAATATTCTTTAGACAGGTTTCCCATATACAAGTTTTCGTTACACATGTTTTTCTTAGACTAGTATTCTTTTGACAGTTTTCTCTTAGACAATATTCTTCAGACAGGTTTATCTTAGACTAATAATCTTTAGTCAGGTTTCCTTTAGACCAATATTGTTTAGACTGGTTTCCCTTCAAACCATATTCTTTAGCCAGGTTTCCTCTTGACCAATATGCTTTAGACTAGTTTTCCTTTAGACTAATATTCTTTAGACTGGTGTCCCTTAGACCAATACTCTTGAGACTGGATTCCTTTAGACCAATATTTCTTTAGACTGGTTTCCTTTAGACCAATATTCTTCAAACCGGTTTTCCTTAGACCAATATTCATTAGTCAGGTTTCCCTTACACCAATATTCTTTAGTCAGGTTTCCCTTAGATTAGTTTCCTTCAGACAGTTTTCCTTTAAACAATATTCTTTAACCAGGTTTCCCTTAGACGCATATTCTTCAGCCAGGTTTACCTTGGACCAATATTCTTTAGCCAGGTTTCTCTTAGACCAATAATATTTAGTCAGATTTCCCTTAGATTAGTTTCCTTCAGACAGTTTTCCTTTAGACAATATTCTTTAGCCAGGTTTCCCTAAGACCAATATTCTTTAGACTGGTTTTCCATTGGACCAATATTCTTTAGCCAGGTTTCCCTAAGACCATTATTCTTTAGACTGGTTTTCCATTGGACCAATATTCTTTAGCCAGGTTTCCCTTAGACCAATATTCTTTAGACTGTTTTTCCATTGGACCAATAATATTTAGTCAGGTTTCCCTTACACCAATATTCTTTAGTCAGGTTTCCCTTAAATCAGTATCCTTCAGACAGTTTTCCTTTACACAATATTCTTTAGTCAGGTTTCCCTAAGACCAATATTCTTAGCCAGGTTTTCCTTAGACCAATATTCTTTAGCTAGGTTTCCCTTAGACGCATATTCTTCAGCCAGGTTTCCCTTGGACCAATATTCTTTAGCCAGGTTTCTCTTAGACCAATAATATTTAGTCAGATTTCCCTTAGATTAGTTTCCTTCAGACAGTTTTCCTTTAGACAATATTCTTTAGCCAGGTTTCCCTAAGACCAATATTCTTTAGACTGGTTTTCCATTGGACCAATATTCTTTAGCCAGGTTTCCCTTACACCAATATTATTTAGTCAGGTTTCCCTTAGATCAGTATCCTTCAGACAGTTTTCTTTTACACAATATTCTTTAGCCAGGTTTCCCTTAGACCAATATTCTTGAGTCAAGATTCCCTTAGACACATATTCTTTAGCCAGGTTTCCCTTAGACCAATATTCTTTAGACTGGTTTCCTTTAGACAATATTCTTTGTACTGGTTTCCTTTAGACCAATATTCTTTAAATCGGTTTTCCTTCGACCAATATACTTTAGACAGATTTCCCTTAGACCAATAATCTTCAGACATTTTCCCCTTAGACCAATATTCTTTGTACTGGTTTCCTTTAGACCAATATTCTTTAAACCGGTTTTCCTTAGACCAATATACTTTAGACAGATTTCCCTTAGACCAGTAATCTTCAGACATTTTCCCCTTAGACCAATATTCTTTAGACAGGTTTTTCTTGGGCCAATCCAAATCTGTACAAGAAGAGTAAAATCATTTTAAAATATAGTTTAATTCATATCGTTGCTTTGAGTATATACAAATATGATAAAAATGATTTTAACTCTTTTGATATTAGAAAAATAAAAGTAAAAACGGAATTGAAATAAATATAACATTTTAAATTCAATATTTGTAACAGTATGTTAATTTCTGGCGCGTTCTATTCACAACAGATTTCTGCGCTCTTTACACTACTTTGTCACCATTTTTCGCGTGGTGTATTCTTTCACAAATAGCAATGTTTTTGGCTTGCCCTTACAGCTTTATTTACAAGAAAATACACCAGAAAATTATCTAACTTAGTATATATTAACTTCTTATATTCTAAAATCACCAATTAGTCATTTGAACTCGAATTCTGAATCTGTTATTCCGGTATCTCTGGCAAAATTTCGAATCATTGACGATATCCTATCAGTCAGTTATGTGCCATGCGTGATACTCGCTTAGTCGATCATGTATCTTTTGACACGTGACTGACCAGGCAGTTTTTTTAAGTTGCCATTTCTTTCGGCGGTAGACCAGTTGCCATCCAAGTCTATAGAACCCAGTCTCTCCTGCTATTTACGCATAGCTAGGGCGAGAAGAGGATTCATACCTTCCCCAATGTTATTAGCACGTAAATGAACTCGGCTCTCCGATTCCTCAATCCGAGCCGCAATCCGTTACTCCACCTTGCTTCCAACTTTATATAGTCTTTAATGAAACATCAATGATTTTGTCTGTCATTTAAGGGTTACAATGAAATTCACGTTCCTTAATTTTAACTCTTTGTGTGATGTGTTACAACTTTTGAGCACAGAAAGGCAATACCACAATGTTTTGCTATATTTATCAGTTTTCTTTTTGGATTTGTGACGCTATTCTGTGTATTTTGTTTGTGATAAAGTTAAATCCTCTAGTTTATAATTCAAAACAGAACAGCAGTTTCTTAATTGTTTTCCAAATGAAATCGCTTTTTCCCAATCATGCACTTTGATCTCTTTGTTGTTATGAAAAGGGGCAGATGCTGGCTGTCTGGCGTCATCACTTCGAGGGAATCTGTTATCAATTTGCTTGACTCCGAGATCAAAGGTGCATATTGTGTGCGTCTTTTGTGTCATTGTCCCCGACTTTTGTTTATTTTATTTTTTTTATTTATTTTTTTTTTTTTAATATTTTTGGCATAATATGTTAAAAGAGTAAATTAATAAAAATTAAATGCAGCGGCAAAGACAGGTTCTGAGGTGAGTGGGATTGTGAAAGCCAACTGAGGATAACCTACTGATCTCCAATAAGACATCAATTGATGATGCCAACCGTTTAAGGCTTAAAGGAAGCACTTTACAAATTTACTTTGGAAAAGGTGAGTTGCCAGCAACAATACGCTTGAAATTTCGTTCAATTATTAAATAAAACTTATGAATTGTTGATTTGTTTGACTAGCCGCGGGTAAATGAAACCATAGAAATCAAAATCAACTTAAACTTCAATGAAAAAATGAGTGATACATTTAGCATATAGCAAATAATCACAAAGATTTTAAATATAGAAACAATTTCTAGAAAGGAGAGAGACGGACAGAAAGATAGAAATAAAAGGGAGGAAGGAGTAGAGAAAGAAGAAAGAAAAGAGAAAGAAAGAAAGGAATGGAAGATAGGAAAGAAGGAGGCATAGATAGAACGGGGTTCTATCTATGCCTCCTTCTTTCTATCCCTAGAAATGGGATAGAAAAAAAAGAATGGAAAGAAAGAAAGAAAGAAAGAAAGAAAGAAAGAAAGAAAGAAAGAAAGAGGATACGAACGAAGGTGGGGTAGAAAGATAGAAAGGAAAGAATGAATGAGGATACGAAGGAAGGGGAGGTAGAAAGATAGAAAGGAAGGAATGAATGAGGATACGAAGAAAGGGGAGGTAGAAAGATAGAAAGGAAGGAAGGAATGGGGATACGAAGAAAGGGGAGGTAGAAAGATAGAAAGGAAGAAATGGAGATAGAAAAAATAAATTCACTTTGGCATAGCTGAATTGCCAGCATCACTACTCTCGCAATTTGTGTCAATTATTAAATAAAACTTATGAAATGTTAAGTTCTTCCACTAGACACAGGTAAACCATAAAAATCAAAACCGCGGATAATGGGCTACTCTATTGTAAATAACGACTGACATGCATAACAAAAATATATAAAGAAATTCTAAAAGGGATCAATCCAGAGATATTAATAAAATAGGGATATCAAATGAATGGAACAAAAGTATTGTCGAATCTGCATCACTTTGTTTCCATGAAAGGAATACAGGTTCGATTCCTGTTGGAGGTACAAACTTTCTTTAGTAAGACTTGATAATTTAGACTGGTTGTTATTAATTTCACACTTAAAGAAAAAACAGGGCCAGCAACACAAACACGTGTACCAACTGGAACTGACGTTTATAGCAATAAGAAATATTGTCAGGTCAAAAATCCTTTCAATACATATATATGTTCATCCTCTCGATCGCTTTCTTTAAAGAATTAACAATATGATACAAACACTAGTTAATAATGGTTTTCCGAATTACCTCATAGATCACAAAATTATAGTTTTCTTTTTAAGGTAACCAATCGCAACACTGAACATAAAGATAAAAATAATATCAAACATTTTTTATAAAAATAAAATGTACGATAACTATAAGTAGCCTTATAAACAAAGAAATAAACATCTCCAGTGGACAAAAACAAGACAATTAAATTACCTACTCACCTGTAAGATCTAAATTACGTAACCAATATTATTTTTAATTCATGTGTTCCTTAAGGAACTGTATTCCTGCTCAAACCAAATTCACAAGTCTAAAATTTACCTTACATCTCTCTAACCATAGCTCAATTAGGTCTCATTTAAATACACACGGAAACCTGCCAAACTCCATCCACAACATACTCGTTAACAATACAAATACAATAGCCTCATCCACATGCAAAAAAGGCTAAATATAATGGAAGCATTATTAATAAAAAAAAGAAAAAAGAAAAAGCCTCAATAGCATCAACAATGAATGCGGGCAAAATGTACTGACCGTGTTTGGAAAATAAAGCAACTCTAGATACATACATAAAAAAATCCATGAATTCAGTTAAAAGTAAAAATAAAATCATCCTAAATAATGGATAAAAGTATAGCCAAAAGAACTTGGACATGCAGAACATTCACACAATTTCTACACAATAAAAATTAACTAAAAAAATTAACCGCCGTCCCATATCAGTCTTTTGTAAAGAAACTTGTATAAAAGAGGAACTGCTACCCAAATTCACAATTTTATATATATATATATATATATATGTGTGTGTGTGTGTGTGTGTGTGTGTGTGTGTGTGTGTGTGTGTGTGTGTGTGTGTGTAAAATAGCCGAAAACGGTCAATATCAACTAAGAACATGGCCGCAATGTGCTGATCGTGTTTGGAAACTACAGGTTCGGGGTTTTTGTATATTATTTGAATTGTTTGCGACGATGGATTTCTCGCCAATTAAATCATTAACCTTTTGTATTTGTTTTTTTGTATGAATAATTCATGAATTTGTAAATTAATTGCACCTTTATTGAAATATATATATATATATATATATATATATATATATATATATATATAGAGAGAGAGAGAGAAAGAGAGAGAGAGAGAGAGAGAGAAATCGACAATCATCAGAAAGAAAGTTTTTTAAAACAAATTTAATTTAATTGAGGTTAATAGCACGAATAAATGCTAGCAGATTAAAATGTTACAAGACTGGTGGCCAACGTTTCGGTTTTCATATTGAAAAAAAACGGTTGAAAGTGAACGAATAAAAACAAAAATGTACGAACTTTGAAAAGTTTATCCAATGGCCAATGTAATGTTTAAGACAAAACTACTTATATATTTTGTCAACGTATGAGTGCCTAACTATTCACTTTTACTGATGAGATGACGTCCTTTAATTTCCTTGCGGTTTTACGGGTTATTCTGAAAGAAACTTATTTCTTATATTTTCATTTATGAAAATAAATGGAACTTTTTTAAATCTCCATTCTCTGATCATCTTCCGTTTTATCCTCGATTCAGTGTTTCTTTTTTCGCGTTTTTAACACTCCGTTTTATTTCCTTCCATCTTTCTTCCTTTTATCCAGTCTCGTTGAAAATTTCGTATTTACCAAAAAAAAAACAGGAAAAAAAGATGTCTTCTCTCTTCTCCCTTCATTTCAATCCTTTCGCCAGACTAATTTTGTTTACGAGTCGTCATTTCAACAGGGCCCTGCGTGTGGTAAAGAGACGGCCGGCTCGCACCGTAATTAAAAACTACGGTACATAATAACGTATGTATTGTCAAGAGACTGACGCCCGAATAGCCATTTTGACCCGCGCGCTTTCTATAAGGGGACCGTGCTAGCGATACGATTGCGTTGCCAGGACAACGTGAGCGCGCGTCTAATTACGTATGACGTGTTGACAACCGGAATGACGTAGGCCCAACACAGTTGGATTCAGTGTTGGATAGTGATGGTGACATTCGAAAAACGACAAGAAAGGAAAACAGAAGAAATATTGAAGGGAAGATAACATGAGAGAAACAGGACAGAACGATAATAGATAATAGGAAATCTGTGAGAGAATATTAATTGCTAACTTGCGCTGTGTTTAGGGTTTAAATTAATAAGAACTAGTCTTCTGTTTATTTGATGCCTGTGTCCACTCTTTGAGTGCTATGGAAATATATTTTATAACTGCCTCTTTTTAGTATCTTGGTTCGTTCTCTCTCAGTAGTTTTCCAATGCCTGTATATCTAACTCTCACTGCGTATATGTTTAATTCCATCGCTATTACGTTATCTCCGCCCCCTTTTTTCTCTCGCTCATCTGAATGCTGGGAAATATAGATGTGCTTGTGCGTTTATACTCGTTTTGACGTATCGATAACCATTAGAATGCGTATGTCTGCATATATATGTTAGGGAAGATGTTTATTTGAGTGCCTGGTGTATTGCTATATATGGTAGCGGTTACCTCTGTCTAGTCATATGACTGGATGCACAATGAAGGAAAATGAAGGAAATTGTGTTTGCAGTTTGAAAAGGTTTGTTGCATATTCATTATATACTGATTTACGCACTTAGTGTTCACATACTGCTATAGGAAAAAGAATATGAATTAGGATACATAAATAGGAGTAGGATGAGAAAAAGAGACAGGGAAGAGATATAGACAGTGATAGATAATAGATATATAAATGATAGATATACATCATTATTATCCCCTTGACTTTTGTAATATTAGGGCGGATCCGAATGCAGAAGCAACACTAACTCTTTTCCACAACGGTCTATTAAAGACAGCCATTAGCAATTCTGGTACAGTCATACCTGTCCATTTTTTGACATTGTCCAAACAGTTTTTGCGTTGGTGCACTATCCTACGTCCACCTTCAACGGTGACTTCCATGATGGTCTTGCTCTGGCTCTCGTGCCTTGTAATGCCATCTTTCTCAGTTTGACAGTGGAGAGAAGAGGTTTCTGATGTCCCACAGAAATGTCAACTCTTTTCTGCACAAACACTTTGTTTTTTGGGGGTTTTTTTTGTTATTCAAAATAGAAAATGCCAATGAGTTTTCGCATGCATTTGTTCTCAAACACTTGGATCCTTCTTTTTGTATCTGTCAACTGTGTCCACGTTTCACATCCATATAATTGAATGGAGACTACCAGCTCAAAGAAAACGATGTCGTATTTAAAGCAAAGATTTGAATGTTATTAATTATCGATTATTTTTATATTTTCTTTGTTTATTATATAATCATAATATTTGTTCATAGTATTTAATATTTTTATAATCTTTTATACATATTGTTTATTTTTACGATAAGTCGTGGTATACAACGATTTTTTTAATAAGATATAGATAGACATATGTACATATAGGCAGCTAATAGGTATGAATAGAAAATAGACAGATAATGAATATATAGGTAGATAATAAACAGATGATAGATAATAGAAACAGGTCGGATAGATATTCGATAAACAGCGATAATAGATATAGATAGATGACAGAGATAGATAACAGACAGACAGACAGAGATAATACATAAATGTTAGAGATATAAAATATACCTTATATGATAGATAGACAGTATGCAGATCGATAAGTAAAACATATAGGTAAATAAGACATAGACGGACAAGGCATAATAGATTGATAAATCATAGATAGGTAATAGACAGATAATAGAGAGATAGACATAGATAATAAGCAGATAGATAATAAGCATTATGGATAATAGGCAGGTAGATAATAAGCACACACGCATACACACACACATAGAATATATATCGATAGTTAATAGTTTGCTAGATAGATAATACGTAGATAGATAACACGTAGGTAGATAAGTAGATAGATAATACGTATATATATATATATATATATATATATATATATACAGAGAGAGAGAGAGACAAACAGACAGACAGAGAGAAAGAGAGAGAGATAATAGGTAGGTCGACAGATAGATAGATAGATAGATAGATAGATAGATAGATAGATAGATAATACTTAGATAATACGTAAATAGATAAATAGATAATAGGCAGGTAGATAAATAAATAGATAGATCGATAATTGGTAGTTAGGGTACATAGATAGATAGATAGATAGATAGATAGATAGATAGATAGATAGATAGATAGATAGATAGATAGATACCCATATAAGATAGATAAGATAATAGAGATTATAGGTAGATAATACAGAGATAATTTAGATAGAAAATAGGCATAGATAATAGAGAGATTATAGATAGTGGACATAATATATTATCTTCCTATCTCTATTATGTGAGATAATTATGAACAGGATCAAAGTTTTCAAATCAACAGAAACAGTCGTTTGTATTATTTTAAATGCTATTATTACTAGTTATTTTTCTTTATTTACATGTACTACGTATTCCGTAAACATCTGTTCGGATTGCCCGAAATTCGACGTAGCATTCAACGCTTATCATTTGCTGAAAAACAGTAGTAAATAAATGAACAAAATTTTACTTCTCATTGATGTTTTGATTCCGAATTAATATCTGAGATTAAATGTTAAAAATGCAAATTAAAATCAAAAGATTTTAATCTATTTGCATATTTGTTCTTTTTAATATGATAATTAACCAAATGCCACTGCTTAATTTGGATTTGCAGTTTCCTCATTGAACTTGAAGATACGTTGATGAAAAGTTATATGTAGTTTATTTGAAAATATAACTGGTGTTTCTAGAAGTGCAAGCTTAATCAAAAATATCCTTCCATGTGGGCGAGTGAAAATATTAAAACAACTGATAGAAGCAGTGACAGAGAATGGCTACCAGTATCAATGTTGTGACTTCATGCAAAAGCTGTTGAAAACGACAGGAACGATACAGTAACATTTTGAAGCAACTCAAACCATTGTTTACTCACAAGATAATCGTTTTTCAATTTATTTGTTTTTACTTTTTCTTTTAAACCTTGATTTTTATTGGGACATGAGCTACAGTACGCTTCTACAGAATTTGACAATCTTTAGCAGAAATCAAAAACCTACTGCTAAGACCTAAGGCAAAATGTTTCTGATGTCTCATTCTTGAAGAGTATCATTTGAGCGAAATTCTCATTCAAGAAATCTCCTTAAAATATCTTGTTTTTCAAAATTAACTATTCTTCGAATGTACAAAAAAGTAACTCCGGACAATAATAGAAATGCGTTAAGTGACCTCTATTCTGATACCTGGATTCTGTTAAGTCACTTATTCAAAATCTGAGATAAATGAATAAATGGAAAATAATTATTATAATTGGACATAAAAATATACTCATTATTTTTAAGGTACGATTTGTTAGAAGCAACTCGATTATAAGAACATTATTCAAGTTCCACTAAACCTTAAGCAACTCCACTATTTGACTAAACCGTAAATAAGTCCACCATTGTGGCTTAAATGATAGGTAAGATTTTTTTTCGGGGTAGATTCTCTGCCTCTTAAACAGATTTGAATGCTTAATTCTCTTTCTTATGAATTGGTTGCTAACCAAAGCTAGATGGCCAATCTTCGGCTGAAATTTAACTCAGCACGCTAATACAAATTTCGTAGACTTTAACTACAACTAGGCTACCAACTTCACATACACACACACATACATATAATTTGAACTGGTACTTATATTCTCCCTATATTGTGGCCAGTTTGCTTTATCTTCGTATTTTCTTGATTTCAGATTAGATCTTGTAAATTTTCCAACATCTTTCATTGAAATGATCACTTTCAAAAGTGAGTTTATAACTTTAGTTGAGATAAATGCGAAAAGAAGGCATCAATTTAAACTGATGCCAGTTGGATATGTTATGCGAAATTCGAATAATGCAAAGCCTGCAACTAGATTCCTTAAATGTTATAACAGGAATACATGCAAAATTATTTGACTGAGACTTAAAGCTCAGTGATTTATATTCAATAAAATTTTTAACTCCAATTCACCGTTTTCTTTTCTTTCAGACAAGACGAGAAGACCATATTTTCTGAATAGTTTATCAAATATTAAATTATAGAATGTTTTCGTCACACTGGACTTATATTAAAATTCGTATTTAAACCTAACGACTCTAATAGACAATATATTGTTAACTAAAGAATTTGCCTCCCGAAAATATTTTTCTCTTGGACAGAGATTGGTTTTGAAAAGCATGAATATTTGATAGATTTTATTAATTGCAGTGGCCTAAATCTGGCAGCTAGTAATATGCGGGAACAGATTTTATGGTCACCCCCTACTCATTCAGCTGAATTGGCAAAATCCAATTGTAGCTAAATAATTATTTGTATTTATTTATTAATTACACTTGATCGAGTAAAAGAAAATATCAAAAAATACATCTTCTCATAAGTAATTGGCATAAATTCTATTTGTTTCATCAAGCAGAAAAGGATAATAAACACAAATTAATTACTTACCTACATATATAACAACTATCTATATATTTGCAATTAGGCATTCATTTATTTGATTTGCATCAGTAGATTAGAATAAATAATTTGTTCCTCATAAAATATGAGTTTGTGTGAATTCTAAAACGCAGTCATTAGGTTCCTGCCGTAGTGCCATCTGTTGTTTATGATCTTGTCTCGGAGATCATTTTTGAGTAAAGCTAGTTCGATCCATGCATGTTTCCTCTATTATTTCTAGCCTGTGCTGAGTAAAATTGATCATAGAGCACGCGAGTCTCTTTTCCTATAATTTGTGGCTCTAAATAACCTTTGATTCTTTATTAACCTTCTTTTTTATCCCTTCTCCCATCTATTCACACTCGCTAGGTCGGTTACTAGCTGTTTCTCCTCTGAGCCTCCTACCTTCGGTAAGTTCTGTGTGCATTAAATTCTCCATAACACTTTTCCTCGTTATGTGTTTTAAAAATATGTTTTAATTGTTTCCTTGCATTTTTTTTTTTTTTTTTTTTTTTTGGTTTTCCGTAGAACTTCGTTGTTTCTCAAATATTTTTATCCATGATTTTCTTGGTAATTATTTATAGAACAAAGATATGTTGCTTCAAGACTTGTCTTCAACTGTGAGGAGATTGTCCAACATTGTCAAATAAGAGATTAGATATTACATAGCAGGTTCCCTCGTTTTTCTTCATTTTAACCACATTTTCATGAATTCAAGCGCCCTACGAGGCTGGCATCCCGCTCTCACCCTTTCACTGTCGAAACTACTAAGTGTAGCCGTCTCTTCTACTCCAATAGCTTCATGTCTCGCACCTCTCACCTGTGGAACTCCCTTCCCCATTCCAGTTTCCCTGAGAGCTATAATTTCTAACTATTCAAATGTAATGTCAATCGACATCTCCAGTTGTCTTGATCTATCCACTATCCTTCTCCTCATCCTTTCCTCTATCACTCCTATCTGATCTTGCTCCAAATCTTCTGTAACCCCTTGCGTCCCAGTGGCTTCCCGCTTTGCTTGGGGTGAAAAGCTTAAAAAAATTTTTCCTATCTCTTAATACTTTTTTTCTAGTTTCTGAAAGACTTCTTTCGCCTTTCCGATATCTGTGTCACATTGTCCATCGCTGGTTACTACACGACACCGATTGTTAAACTGCCCGAGTATTACAATATTGACTAACAACGATATATTGTAAAAGAGATATTTCCATTAAAAATCACTTGCTTAAATTATAATTATTTTATTGGCATTTTACATCAGTTTCGACTAACAAATAAATTTACAAGATTTAATATGAAAAACTATTAAATGTTTTATGTACATGTATGTATTAAATGTTTTATGCCTCTCAAAAAAAAAAACAGAAAATTTGATACAGTTTATTTTATTGTTGGAATTTTTGTTACAGTTATTTGAAGCAAAAGCAAGGGATAGAAATGTAGTGGCTTAAAACAGAACTAAAACACAAATGTTAGATATGGTGTTTAAACTAAAGAACTCTGGCAAGTTTTCTTCGGTCCCCAAGATATATGTTCTTTCGTAACAAGAACAATCACCTCGTGTTGAAAATTTGACAACTGTGTCATCCTAAAACAACAAATGACTAAAACATTTATATATTAGTTAATTTTTTAGTTCATTCATATATTAAAATATATAGTAATTTTTTATGTGTTTGTTAATTTTTTCAGCATATAGTAAACCTAAAATTTCTTGATTTTTGTGAAGGCGATCTATATGTCAAAGTCCCAAGTTAGGCTCAAACCTATCTTATACATAATTAAACATCTTGTCAAGTCATATATTTTAAGCAAATTTTAAGACTATACTTCTCGTACCCAAATCTTTTGTAACTTTTCTCTTCCATGGTACGCTTTATATTGTGGAATTTTTCTATAATAAAATCAATTAAATTAGTTTCATTGATTGGATTTTGTCTCTTCAGCAGAGTTATAAAAAATTATTTTACTACTTAAAAAATATTTTTCATATACACTGACCAATAAGTGACATGGTATCATGCTCTAGTAACAATTCTAATTGGAGAGGTTTTGAGCCTAAGTTTACAAATATAAAAAGCTCAGGTCAGTGGATGCGAAGAGAAGACATTTTGACAGCAAGAGGACAAGGCAAATCCACATCAAGGAGCAGAAGTATTTGACATCAAGAAACTACCAGTTAGCAACCATCTGCAGAGAGACGAAAGAATTTTGAAGTTCCAAGTCAAATTCTCCTGTAGTTAGACAACAAACAACGAAAAGGAATTTCAAGAGTTTTTCCGAAGCACGAACTCTGAATTTAAATGGAACTTTTCAAAAATTACTCCATGTCCCAGATACGCTTGCGGAGCAAATAAATGTAGGTGCTTTTTATTTTTCGATGGTAATCTTTTTTATATGAAATTGTTATTCTGCCTTAATAGGTGCACAAAGGAATATTTTTTGCAAACTTTGTATTTGTACCTTTTTCGTAATTGTGTAATGTTTTTCCTTTAAAATTTTACTCAGCGGTTGAGTCTTATATTTGGATTTTCGCCTATTATGACCTGCTATTCCTACTAGTTAGGTTTTTATTTTTGACGCAAGAACTTGGATTTGGTAGGGAATAGAATTTTTATAGAGTGTGTAGGGATGGCCATAAAATATGTTCCCGTTTATCGCTAGCCGCGAGATTTAAGACATTTCAATTAATGAGGTCTATCAAATTTAATTTATGTTAGTATGGGAAAATTCCACAACAGAAAGGTAACCATAGAGTTGAAAACTTACAAAAGCCTTGAAAACGAGAAGTATAATATTAAAATTTGCTTACAATATTTGCTTTACAACAGGCTTATTTAT